AGTGCCTTCACGGGAGCTAAGCAATGTACTGCTGTGGACTGGGGCAGCAGCTAAACTTATTTTATCCACCTAACAAAATGGCCCACGTTGTTGTGGGGAGAAAAGGTCAAATCTGTAAAATTGAAACCAGCAAGGGATGACCAGCATCTCACACTCTCACTGAAACTGGTTTAAATACAGTACACAGTCTGTTTATTTGATAAGCAGCTAGTGCTGCTGCACTGCTTAACTAATTACACAAAAGTCAAAAGTAGACTGGAACAAATGTATGGTTACTCTGTCATCTTTTCTCTGTGGGCACTGTCTCCCTGTTTAGTTGTGCTTGTTTTGGTTTGTGATGAGTTGAGTTGTGTTCGGTTGAGCTGAATACTCCGTCAGCAGCCTGTCTGCAGATCACTTCCTGAATGGTTCCTAAAATAGCAGCAACAACTATCACAACCAAGGAAACACGACAGCTGCTCTGTTTCTGCCCTCTCTCCATAGGCTTGGGTCATAAGGATTTTTTCCAAAATCTATACTAGTATTAAACACTGAGCAACAAATTATTCCCTATATGTTTTCATTTTTGGTTGAACTGCAGCAATTTTACTATTGTTCTTAAAATTTGAAAATATAAGTAAAGAGATGTTTAAAATCTTTAATTTCTCTGGAAATGGCCTAGATCTCAATCACTTACCAGAAAGTGTACTATGGATACGGTATTTAAATTTACGCCAAAAAAACAATCTCTGGCCGGGACCAATCCTCCGCTAATCATGACCCTTCCATGTCACACGCAAACCAGCTGTAGTCCATGAAGCTACTTGGAAAATAAAGCACCCTTTTGTTTGCTGTCAGTAACTCAATATCATTAGACTGGCAATGGAAAAACTACAATGTTTTATATTAATAAAATCACCAGAAATTAAACTACAGTTTTCCTAAACAGAAATGGGGGGAAGGAAAGTGTAATCATGTTATAAAACATCTGCCAGAGGTGTCAGAAATATAGGTACAGGTGATGCCGTAGGAAGTAATTCACCTACTATTTAAATGGTTACAGAGCTGGTTAACTTGTTTGGTTAAAGGTTAAATTATATAGAGTTAAATATAGTTAGACCAGAGGATTAATACCACTGCCATGTCTATATGATAAATATGAAGCGACAATCAGCAGCCAATTAGCTTAGCTTAGCATAAAGATTGACTGAGCTAGTCTGCCTCTGTCTGTGGAAAAATCCTTCTACCTGTACCTCTTAAGTGTAATTATTCTAATCTAATTAACATGTTGTTAACCTACGCTCAACCAGTACAAAAATCTAAATGTTAATGAGTGAGCTTTAGACAGAGCCATGTTAGCTGTTTATCCTGTTTCCAGTTCTTAGGCCAAGCTAAGCTAACCGGCTGCTGGCTGTAGCTTCATATTAAGTCAAAGAGCAGATATGAGAGTGCTATCAACCTTCTCATCTAACTCTCGGAAAGAAAGGGAATGAGTGCAAAAATGTTTTAATACGCAGCCTCGCTTAATGATTTTCCTTAACCTAACTAAGTAGTTTCTGCGATCGCTCGGTCCAGATGAAATTGCATTCCCCTCCAAAAGTAATTGAGGGTGCAGTTCAGTTTTATGGAAATGTAAATTTGTAGGAGGCCGGGTTTCTTTCAGGATTCATGTTTAATAATAAGCTCAAAGGAAGGCATGTGCAGTGAAAGTTGTGTATCTTAAGGCTGTTTTCCCAATCACTTTTAACAAAAATCACATTTGTCTGTTCTGTATTCATTGGTTTTGATAAATATCTTTAAATTCTTAAACTGCTTTGTCATGATAGCGATGCAGAATGTAAACAGAGTGATGTGTCGCTGCATCCTGCTAGAAATACTGGAGATGCCTAACATGTCATTGTGTGGTTTAATAATAATAAATATGACACTCATGACCTGCTAGGTTTATTCTGAAGGTTTTTATTTCAGTTTGGACCAGTTAAGAATCGGTATCTGTCACTCAGAACATTTCTTTTGCCTTAACGTCTCCTAGCCTGTCTCTGTTGTGACTTTCTGTGTCCTGACGTTACTCTGCTTCTCTGCTTCTTGTTCTTTCTTCTTGACACTCGGTGCCCTTTTTCCCTTCACCTTTCAGTCTCATTTTTCATCCCATCTCCTTGGCTCAGTCTTTCTGCCAGCCAGCCTTTGCATATCACAATGTCTTCTCAACCTCCGCTCTCTATACCACTTTTTATCCTTTCCTCTCTCTCTCTCATTGAATTCACCTCTCCAGCAGAAACAGTAAACTCCACTGAGGAGACAAGATCTGCAGATGTTTGCCCTGCTTTCTGCTGTCACAAATCGTTCACTTCAGTGCATCACTCAAAGCACTAGAACTCACAAGATGAGTGTGGAGTAGCAAAAATACAGCCAAGAAAAAAAACTACATTTCCCTGAAGAACTTGAGCAGCGTTTGGGTCGGACGTGGTGTGTTTTTTGTCAAGTGACCTTTGTGGTGTTAGCAGCTTAAAGCTCAGCTGAAAACCCTCTAGTGATAACGCTCCAAATGCAGCATTTCCACTGAATGCAGGGAAGAGCAGTGACTATGCTTCTTTCAAGCTTTGTAATTGTCACTTTTCCCTGTTCATAAAAATGGCAAGAGTGGGATTCTTGTTTTATTTTTGGCTTGTTGACAGTTAAGGAGCCATTGAGTTTTTTAATGGATACTTAATGACTGCTGCACAAAACATAACAAAGAAAGCCCCTCGAGGATCCTAACTGTCAGCCAACGGAAGTCCCTGGAGAGACGGAAAAGTCCTAATCTTTGTTATCCACATACACTAAATACTTTGGAAGATTAAGAGTGTATTTTCCACACCATTGCTTTTCCAGTTCATTACACCTGTGTGCTAAGCAAACAGGTTTGGAAAAAAAAACAATATGGTCCTTGCAAATGTAAGCTGCAGACAGACACAGACAAAGATATTTTCTTACTTTAAATGTCTAAATTTGTATCAGGCTCTGGGAATGGACCCTTGTGAGGGCTGTTCGCACTAAATACTACACTCAGTGTTTTTTTTAACGTATAGTAATTTAAATGTACAGCTGATAAAGAGCTGATTTGATTTGTGCGCTGAATGTCTTAAAGTTACTAATGCTAAATTCATCTGACTGAAAATATTTCCGCATGTAAACGTTTGTTGACATGCTAACTATCTTTCCAGTGCTGATCAGTCCACTACTTTGGTTCAGACAGAAATAACTTTTGGATCAATTGGTGCAGACCTTCAAAGGATGTATCGTACAGGTCAATGTTTTCACTCATTCAGTGAGTACATCAGCGTCGACCAGATGGATTGACACAACATGTTGTATCGCACTTTGGTTTATAACCAAATACCTGCAAAACTGATGACATTCCCATCAGCCGCAGCTGCACAATGCGTCTAGTGCCAATTACAGGATTTGTAGGGCAATGAAATATTGTCTCAAAGGCATGCTAACACGCCAAACTAAGAGGGTGAATATTTTAGGTGTTATAGCTACTAAACTTTAGCATGATCGCAGTGTCATTGTGCATTTCGCTTTACCGAAGTGCAGCTTCACAGTGATGCTAACGTGGCTGTAGAGTCTTAATTCCCAGACACACCAAACTGTCATCAAAGAACTAGCGGCTAATCACACTGATTTCTCTCGCCCACGGGCTTCACCGCTGATTCAACAATGCTAAATTTGCCGAAAAGCCTCCGACACGGGAAGACAATAGTGCCAACTGTGCGGGACACACTGCAAGAACTAGGGCGACAGACGCTCACCGACGTGGGCAGACGGTCGACCCGGTGTGTCATGGCCTTTTATTGTTTTTTTTCATCCCAACAGGCTCCCAAGTGATGTTCCAGAAAATGTGCAGAAATTTCATAATAGATATTACTATTGCAATATATTTAATACACATACTATGATAGAGGCTTATCCATTGCGCCCCCTCCTAACTGGTTAAATGAGCTGAAGTTGAGAGAGACCTCTGGTTCTTTCTCGTCTTGTTCCTTTTGACTCTTGCCAGCACTGTGATCATGTTTCAGTGTTGATGATGCCTGAATTATACATCACTGCTGAGGTGTTGCTGTAGCTGATTTATACTTCCCTAGACTTTACCTGTTGTAGCATCACTGCAAAACTAGATTACCTGTTTTATACATTCATGCCATTAGTAATCATATTAAGTTCACATTGTGATGGGGAACTAAGCTGATGCTGTTGGGGAATTAAGTGGCTTTGCTAGAAAAAGAAAAGCTATTGCATCTAGCATTAGAGATGATGATGCTGGAGAATGCATATTAATTTGAAGATGCACAGCGAAGTACATTGTAGCCCTTTATGTACCTACAGAACCACCAAAGAGCCCATGGTGTAGGTGCAGTACCATGGCACTTTGTTCAGCCTTATCTCTTCAGCTTTAAGGCCAGACAAAATGTGTCCAGTGACATTTTGGCCATTTGAAAAAGTCTCACCGGCTTTGACTGCTTTAGACCTGAGTGGTCAAGACAGCCGCAGTCTGATCGGGAACCTTTTCATTCTGCAGCATAATCTGCACTGATTATCAGACTCCAATGCCCCGGGCATCTGAAGGATCCAGTTGAGGTTTGCACCGTAGAAAATTTGGATAGAATGCGACCTAATCTTCTAGCCTCTAGTGCGTGCGAGCAGTAGGAATTTAAGATTTTAGATTTTTTTGATTTTTTTGTGTGACCATGTTTATTTGTGAGACAAAGTCGAACCACAAAGAAAACAGAGATGTGCTTGAAAATGAAATGAAATTTGTCTTTTGTGTGAGATGTTTCTTTTCCTGCAGAGGGCAGGTAAAGGAAACGGACTAGGGAATCCGGCAAAGAAATGGCACGGAGCCCGAGTTGATACAGCTGCACGTACACATCAGCTTCCCATTACCCCCCCCCCCCCTTATTTTCTCTCCCTTTGTCTCTCTCTCTCACTCCCTCTTTGTCTGTGTGTCTCTCCCTCTGTCTGTCTCTCTGTGTCTTTCTCTCTCTCTCCCTCTCTTTGTCTGTCCATCCGTCTCCCCCCCCCCTCCTCACGAGTGGCTGTTTTTGTGGATTGATCTCCCGCTGTTGTCATAGCGACAGTGATGCAGACCGCCCGAAGTGTGTGTGTGTGTGTGTGTGTGTGTGTGTGTGTGTGTGTGTGTGTGATAAAATGCCAGAGTGCTCTCTGCTTAGAGAGGAAGTGTTTGGAGAATTATGTAATGTCCTCTTTTTTTAAAAGGGGAAAAAAGTTGGAAAGATGAAGAAAAAGCTCCTATCCGTCCATCTGTGTGTCTCTCTGTCTGCATATGTCTTTGTATACCAGGGGAGTGTAGTGTTTATGGATACCATGCAGTGAGGAGCATGGCTATTTTAGTTGCTCATTGTAGATGTTTTGTTTCTACAGGATCTTTTTAGTAAGTAGGATACAGTTTTTAAACACAGTGTGTCTATGGGGGGTTGACGTGAGGCTCTTTCCTGTGTGTAAAGTTTTCACTGAAGCTGTGGGCTCTGCCGGGAGGAGCCACCCTGTATAGATTGGGGGGGAGCAAAAGAGGGAGAGAGTGGTATGAACTTGATGGGGGGAGAGAGAGGGAGGGTTGTTGGGCTTGGTGCCAAGTGGGAGGTGTGTGAATCCTTGTGACGCTGCCATTCTCCCGCAGAGAGCACTCTTATTGGACAACATAAGGGGGTCTATAAATAGGCCCCTAATCTGCAAAAGAGAAAGCTAAAAATAGAGAGAGATGCAAACAGACAGGGAGAGAGGGGGATCAAGAGAGGTAGTGATGAACAGTTTGTTGTAGATGAGTTGTAAACAGAGCAAGAAAGTTTTGAAAAGTCTAGCAAAATGTGAAAAACAAAATTTAGAGTTTCATATTCAAGATCTGGAAAAGAGAACTGCATTAAGGAAATGTCATTAATAAAGAATGAGAGTTGTTCAGTCCTGATGCACTTTAGACCCCCTCTGTCACTTTAAGGGACCATACAAGTTTCAACCCATTTGTTACGAATACCTGACATTTTTTAATACATCCCACAGGTTTTTCAAAATAAATGGGTTACCTTGGACCAGATGCCAGTTTGGCTTTATACCAGCACAGTCACAATTAACACTGAAGTTAATCCATCATGTTTTTAGTTTCCTTTATTTTTGTGACGATGCAGTTGCAGAGACGATGTGTTCAAGGAAGCTCTGATATCTGATTGAGAGTCCGCTGCTGAAAAGGCTTGTGTGTGTCACAATTAATTCAAACAAATATTTATTTTGATTTACATTAACAGAAAAGATGACATCTCTACAAATTATGACAAGTGACTCAAAACAAGTAACTAATCTGTTTGAGTCAACAATAAGGTCAAATGAAAGCTACTTAGTTTTGTTAGATGTTACTTGTTGGATACATTATTGACTTCTGTTGAGCCCTTAAAAACTGAAGAGTTCACATTCTTTCCCCTATTCAGCCAATTCAATTTAGGGCTTTCAGGCCTTTGAAAACTTGTTTCAAGTATTTCTCTATAACATAAAAAATGTATGACTAAAGACCCTGTGCATTCATGGCATAGCTTAGATGTATTTACCATGTGGAAATCATGATGAAAATATGGCATCTGCGTTTGTTTCATGTATTCGTTTGAGCAAAATCTCTCAGCTCCACCTTTTCTCCCTCTCTCGTTCTGTCGCTGTCCATTCTTTCTCCACACTGCACGACCACTCCACGCACCGACTAGAGCGTTGTGTTGTGTGCGTGCATGTAAAGTGAAAACTGCAAGAACTCAGTGTGAATTTCCTCCCTGATCCTCAACTCCCAAGATAAACTTTTTCATGTCTTCTAATCTCCCCTCCTCCAAACCTCCTCTTCTCCCGGCTCGCTCATAGCTTTCTCAAGTCTCTAATTATGTGAGTGAGTTGGGAGGGTGGGAGTGCGTATGTGTGTGCGTCTGTGTACTTTACAGTTGCCCGCATGTTTAAGCTTGTAATTAGTGCTCTTTAAGATGAGAAAATGTTTAAAAGAGCAAGCCTAGGTGTGTGTGTGTGTGTGTGTGTGTGTGTGTGTGTGTGTGTGTGTGTTGGTTGGGTCTCTTTAAAAATGGTCTTTTTCTTTGCTCTCAGAGCTTTGGGAGAAAGGTCATGAAAATGTTGCAGAGGATTAAAAAGGTGATAATTTTGAGGAATTAGTTTGTGTCTGTGTGTCGGTCAGGACTTAAAAGCGAATGGCTGGTTGGTTACAGAGAGAGTGGTGGACTTGCTTTGGATTTGAGTATAATGAGTCTATATTTAAAGCCGTGTGTGCGAGCTTGTGCCTGTGTGTTTTAGAAAGTGACTCATCATTTGTATTTGTGCACGTACAGTAACCCAACACCCAACCCAACCCAGCGGAGGACCGGACCAACACTCATTATTCTCTCTACCTCTCACTGGGCCTGCCTTCTTTCATTCTTGCTTATGAATGTTCATTTCTCGCTTTTGCTTTTTTTTTGTTGTCTTTTTATATACTTCTTTCCTTTCGAGCTTTCTACCCCACGTTGTTCTCTTTCATCCCTCTAAAATGTCTTTTGTACTTACTCGTCTTTACTTACTCACCTCTCTCCGTGCAGCCACTGTTGCAGTCGTGTGTCGTATGCGGTTAAACCCAAAAAGGATCGTGTGTCTCAGCGAAACCACTTTGTCACTTCCCCCTCAGCTCCAGGTCATGCGAGGTCACCTCAGCCTCCATTGTGACTCCAATACTATGTTCAGTTGCACTGAATGTGAGGATGCAATACACACACACAGTCTGACTGCACTCTGTACGTAACAGCTTACATGTGAAGTCATTGACCTTGTGGTTTTAATTCTTACACATTTTGGATTTTCTGTTGTTAGAGTGATCTTGCTTTTTCTAAGCAGGTGGATGTTATTACTCTCGAGCAAGATTTTAATTAATACTTCACCATTCGTGACTGCAAATCAAGTTGATTTTGACAAAACAAGAAAAGAACAAAAACATTAAAAGAAACGGAAAAGGCCATTCTGTGAAATAAAGGAGGAAATAGTCCAATGAGCACTTCTTCGTATTTGGCGGCTCCTTATTGTCCCTTTCACACATACAGTATATCCCTGAAATGTTCAGGAACATTTCCTGCATGGGGTCATGTGTGAATGGGAGTAGGGATAGATATTTAGGGAATTCTGTACCGCCAATCTCTCACCTGAAGACATTTCAGGGAAAAATGGTACGGCTGTGTTTTGAATGAGAGAAGTAAGATTCAGAAGATTCGAAAGACGATTCCGCATTGCGAACCAATTACAATTCTCCACTGCTGTCCTATTTGAATCTAGACTTGTTTACGGTTTAGCATTTACACCAATGCTTATGCGGGTGATTTAATAATAAAGTCACAAGAACATTGGCAACAGCTCCTTCGGGTCGGATAAGCAAAGAGAGGTGAGATCGTATGCCCCCCCCCCCCAAGTGTTGTTCATGGGTTAGAAGGTAAATGACGATTGGCCTCGTTCCTGCTTAGACATTTTGTTGAATGTCATTTCCCATCTCTCTCCATTTACCTCCTGTAAATTAATGTATAGCCTCTAAGTGTAATACATTATTTGCTGAGACTTTTTATGCCTTAGGTGATCATATAATGTGTACAATTTCTTGATATTTGAACAAAGATATTGGCATCGAATCTCAACACTCTTATGTGCAACAACAACATTTTATCAAAAAGCTGTCAACAGATGGCGTCGAATCATATTTGTTATCTTGTTTATTTCGATCAGATAGCTCTTGATTCAAATTAAGATTTTGCCAATTTTAGAATTATTATTTTGTCAAAGTTCTTGTTCAATGGAAAACAAAATTTATGGAATAAAACATGTTTATATTTATACAATTAGGTTGAAGACGTATTGTTTGGCATTGTATAGATGCAGAAAATGTTTGAATGATACTCGGGCCTAATCAGAGAAGGGAGGGTTGATAGGATATATGTATGTATGTATGTATGTATGTATGTATGTATATATATCTATGTGTATGTATGTATATGTATGTATGTATGTATGTATATATATGTATGTGTATGTATGTATATGTATGTGTATGTATGTATATGTATGTGTATGTATGTATGTATATATATGTACATGTATATATATGTATATGTATGTAAATGTTTGAATGATACTCGGGCCTAATCAGAGAAGGGAGGGTTGACAGGATATATGTAAATGTATATGTATATATATATATATGTGTGTGTGTGTGTATGTATGTATATGTATGTATATATATGTATGTGTATGTATGTATATGTATGTATGTATGTATATATATGTATATGTATGTATATATATGTATGTATATATATATAGATATATATGTATGTATGTATATATATATATAGATATATATGTATGTATGTATATATATATATAGATATATATGTATGTATATATATATGTATGTATATATATATAGATATATATATATATAGATATATATGTATGTATATATATATATAGATAT